ATGCTAGTAAAAAAAAAAAAAAGGTTTAAGCAAAATGTTGTTTCTTGCTCTTTGACTTGAAAGTTGCAACCTGATGTAACAGCCCAGATGATGTTTCAACACAGTGTATGAAAAAGAAACACAGGCAGACTGATATTATTGAGGCATTTTGGAAGCGTCAGCTTTCATATTATGAAAAACCACATGATGATTTGAGTTTTGGTGAAGCTCCGTGGTTGCGCAATAGCCGTTACCTTCATCTTGGATTGTCCATTGGAAAGATAAAAGGGCATTGCTGGGAAAAGAAAGCGGTAAAGACTAAAAGAATCTTGCCCAAATACTAAAAAAAGAAAGTTTAATAGAGTGAGGTTTTTTTTTTTATTATTTTTATAATAAGTGATGCAAGTAATTAAAATACATGGGATAGAATTAAAATAAAAATGAGCCAGTAACTGGAGGAGCACAATAAGGAAGTTACATACACTGGGTAGAGAGCATTGAAAAGAAATAAAACAGAAATGATTAAATCGTTGGCTGGGTGGGAAAGAATCGCTAGATAGTGTTGAGAACTTAACAGGAGAAAAGACAATAGACAACCTGAAGCGCTGTCCAAGAGACTGCAAGAGCGAACTGGGAAAGAGTGAAAGCAAATGGAGGTGGGGAATATAAGCAATTCAAGTAGAATCATTTAGGGAGAGAGGTGCGTGGGCGTTTCGCGTTCTTTGAATTAGATATCATAGGTGGGAAGTCTTTTGAGAAGCTCGTTATCAATGTTTGGGATATTGGATATGAAAAGAATTTTATACGCTGCTTTTTCTATTTTTAACTAACTAAAATTTTGAAAAGAAAATGAGATGATAAATGATCGTCCTAGCATCGTCCTTTTTGCCTAATACCTATTTATCACCATAACGTTAAGCGATTAAACATGGAGCGAAGTGTCCAATCAAGACTCAGACTTCGCGGCCGAGGTTTTTGATTGGTCAACGCTTTGGTGGGATAGTGGTTTAAAAAGCAAAAATAAAATCACTCTGAAGATATATTTTGCCAATTGTCAGCATATGCTGGTCAACTTTCAATTTAACATTGATTTTGAAGTTTCTAACAAATTCTGTACGCCAGATCTATTTTATTTCAAAAATCGACCCGCTGTGTCACCTTACTTTTAAAAAAAATAAATTAAAAACAATAAAAACTTTTTTTTTTTCTATTTTATATATTTCTACAAATAGAATAAACGTGTATAAAATTTAGAAATTTATAAAATTATTCGTTTTCAATAATTAAAATAATTTTATTAAAATAAAAACTGTTTTGACAAATAAATAATTCACTATAAAAATGGAAGATTCTAGAATTTCAGCATTCTGCTAAACTTTTTAAAACCATTTGGACCTTCGGTGTGGTGGAGACGCTGGACTTTGTAAGATTGAAGACTACAAGGTGATGGAGCCAGAGCTGAGGGAGCAAGGTGGGTCATAGCAAGAGGCCATTGAGCTGTGAGTTAGACCTGACTTTGGACCAGGAGCGATGGAGACCGCCGAGGATGAGTGGTGGAGAAGAATGGAGCGTGCTGAGACGATCGGACTACTCCGTTCGGGCAAGTACACCAGGAGCGAGTAATCCGAACTTATGGATACAACGAGTGCGTCAATACAATCGAAGCTGCTTGGCCTCGCCTATTTTCAAGAAAAGCTATCTGAAGGGAGAACGATATGCACGCATAACTCAACTGTGACCAAGAAGAAGGACATTGCAGAATCTCTACGATGAATATGCTGCAGCGCTGACTGGATATTCTCCGATGATGATGACCAAAGGGCTGAAGAAACACCATGATGATCTCAGCTTGCAATGAGGGAGTAAGCAAACCCTGAGCTTTGCTCCATTGCCATCTTGTAAAAAACATAAAATTAACAACTTTAACTCAAATTAAGCGCAATGTTTTACTATTCCCCTCCAAAAGCTTACTGCTAAGATTACTTATGCTAAAAATCCTCAACATTTAGTTGAGACCAAAAATTCGTTTGACAAACTCCAAAGTAGATGAACAGGGAGGGGAGCACGACTCTGATACCACCCCCTGTGGTTAAAAAAAGCCACCCATTATGGTCAAGCCAACTGAAAATCTGAAAACTATGCTTGCCAAATTTGACAAAAAATTTTTGTAAATAAAAACCAACCAAGTTCAGTACCTGGCATTGAAGATCTCAACTTATTCCAAAATGCTGTTATATTAATGAAAGAATTTATTTCCCTTTTTCACTGATATCAAAAATCTGCCTAATTTAATCAATCAAATTAATTCTACCAACAATAAAGCTGACAAGCTACAAATCTTTGCCAAATGTATATGCTCCAAAACCATCTAACAATGCCACGTAGTGACTACACTGTTTACAGGACTTGGTAGTCGAAACGTTTTCGTTTCCCCTCCTTCAGATCTGATATTCTATCGTTCACTTGCAACTGACCTTGTACGATTCGAGATTTCCCCCGTCATTACCAGTTCATCCACTTTTAACAAACTGCTCTTAAACGTTTTTTGTATTTTAACTAGTACTCCTGTTTGAATTAGATTAACCTATTGAAAGTATTTTTATTTTTAAGTTCTCTTTCAAACTACTTTCAGTTTGTAATTCTTCAAAATCCTCTTTTTACTTTTATTATTTTAATTATTAAATTATAATTAATAATTATTAAATACTTTATTGAAAAGAAGAAAAAAACTTCTCCCTCTCCATATATTATTATCTCTATTTTAATTGTTTTATTTTTAATGCAATGGGCTTAAAGCTAAAGTAATTCCCTCTCATATGCAAAGAAGGAGTTAGCGGTTACTCATACCAAAAGCTCCGTCAATCTACAAATCGTCGTCGTCGTCGTCGTCGTTTCCAACCATTTTTTCTTCCAGTTAGAATTTACGAGGTTCATGACAACACCAACGTAAACGAGATTTTATCCTTTTGTTTTGTACTTTTTACAAGCAGAACTTTGTCGTGTTGAAAGACTCAATCGCTGACGTCTTTAAATCATTCGAACGTTTCTTTGCGAAACGTTTTTCACACCTCACTGAGGTGATATTCCGTTGACTCGCATGAACTGCTCGGAGTGACTGGCTCCTTTGTTTTTGTTCATTTGGAATGCAAGTCGGAGCGATTTGCATTTATTCGTTGATTTATGAAGACTGTGATGTGGATGCAAAAAGCACTGAAGGACTTTTTCGAATCGCGCCAGTGGCTATGGATGCGTTGTTTCAATTCAGTGAATAATTTTTTATTCAGGTTGCTATTTTTACACAGATATCTAAAATTATCGCAGTGTTGTTCTAACACAGGAGTTTTTAAAAACTCTCCAAACTTCCAAAGTTCAATAATGGACAATAAAATCAAAATGAACTGTTCTATTTTGACATCAAATAACACACACACAGAAAAAAAAAAATAGAATTAAATGCAAACTTACAATGTAGTCGTTCAATTGAAGGATGAACGAAGCTCTTGGTTGTGGAGCTTACTGTCCTTAATTATTGAAAACAATGCCTTTGGTCTATGTCCCTTGAATTCTCATGCATAATTTTTTTAAATATTTCTTTTTATTAATATTAATATAAAAATTTTAAAAAAGAAGGAGAATCGGAACATATACGAATATATGCAAAAAGAGAAAATAAGAAATTGCAATGAATACATTGAAAAGTTTGATTGACTTGCCAACAAGCGGAGATTGCTCTGTGACACTTCAGAAAGAGGAGATACGGGAGAGAACACTCTCTGAGGATATTGAGAACACTTCTAGGAAGCTTTCTGTTTTCGAATAGAATAATGCCATAAATTGGAAGGGATCTACGAACAGAATTACCCAGTAAAAGGGATAGAGTCATAAAACTTTTTAAAGGTATTAAAAATGAAATGTCTTACAATATAGTCTATAAAAATATAACATGTGCTTTTAGTGCCAAATAGCGTTTGATTTCATTCTCAAGAGTTGTTATGTATCATATGCAAACTGGAAAAAAAAAAAAATGCTTTTATATTTACGCTGGGTTAAAAAGTTTTACAAATTATTCGTATTATAGACTGGCATAAATAGGGAGTGATTTTTTTTACTAAAGTATATTAAAATCTGGAATGCCAAGAAAATTGCGTATCAAAAAAATTAGATTAAAACCTGGAAACCACAAATAAATAAAAGAATAAAAAGATATCTGAAAGTAAAACCAAAATTAAAATTTTAAACCATCATGTGAAATTGTAAGTATCTTATTCTCTGAATACCATAATTGTGCTACAATTTGCATTGTTATTTCAAATGCTGGAAACTTTAAACATATATTGAATGAAATAAAAACTTTGATATGCAGGGTGATTATAATTGAAGTCCCACTTTCAAAATGTTGTAAAAAGAGAATCACTCATCATAAGGAGTTCACATTGTGACAACTGAAGATATTTGAAAAAGGGTAAATCTATATGGTATCAAGAAGAGGTCCAAAGTGTATTAATAGATGCCGCTGTAAGCAGCATAAAGAATTCGTCTGCCAGTGATAGTTTGAATCGAAATGACAACGTACTTAGCATGAGTTGCCCATTAAACCGACTGTAGTGTTCAATGTGCTGGATTGTTTCGGTTTTTTGACGGAAAAAATGACTTCCAAGTCCTTCAACAGTTGTGACATTGTGAGTGGAAAGCGATCTGGGTAATTATTACAGTAGAAAAAATATTACCTTCGTAAAAATTTATTTCGGAAAACGTACAATACTTCTTAGAAGAGTTAATGAAAAGGAGCATTTGTTATGTATGGAATCAATCAGCATTTATAATTCATAAGGCACGCATTAATAATTCACAAGTGTTATATTTTTATACAAAAAATGTTATGTAGTTATCAGCATACGCATTCGCATATATAGTACAGGGTTCAAATGCTTTCCAAGTGAGCATTGTTTAAAGATAGTCAAAAGTATATGCATGACAGCTAGAATTTTCAATTTACATTTTACACTCTCATGCATATTCCACGCCCAGAATGTGGATTCGAACCTCCTGACCCTCATCAGTTGAGGGTTTGAAGCACCCACACCAAATCACTGGCGCTCATCTGGTCAAAAGCAGGAGTACGACTTTAAATATTTATGCTGGTATTTCTGTACAGAGCACTAAAAGTGGTAGATTTAATTTTATGCTACTATCGCCATAAGAGGTTGATGATATTTTCGTACTGTTTTCTTGAATCATTTCATGCAATAAAAGTTGATTAATTATTATGTATTTATAAATTCAGTCATTGGGTAAAAGGCATTGCTATAGATGAACAGAAAAGTTTTTATTTTTTTTTTTTAATTTATGATTTTATAAATTTGTACCAACATGAAAATACCACGTAATCACCCCTCTACTCCAAATTAGGCAATGCGTAAAAAGATCGGAAACTAGTGAAAGACATTTTGACGCTGAAAATCAAGAACATTTGAAGGTTTTCACATTCTTTTAAATAACGCACATTAAGTTCAAAAAGCATAACAAGAGTCTTTATTATTAAAATATTACGCGTATTTTTCAGGCTGCTTATGCCTACTTCCATCTTGTTCACTATGTGACTGAATGGTTTATCGGCTAGTGCTCTGGCGCTCGGTATCCCAGGTTTCGGGTTCGAGTCCCGGCGGCGCCATGGATGTTTGTAGCGGTTCGGAATACACTTTAAACCGTAGGTCCAAATAGGATCGTAGAGCGTTGCGGGAACATTGTTACTACGCGTCCGTGGCTTGTCTTCAAGTGACTCGCGCCTCCTGGGTAATGCTAAGTGATTATCGTCTGTGCAGCACTTGCCTTACGGCATCCAAGACATAAGTATTTGCCAGCTGCATTAGAACAAAAAAAAATCTTTTTCCCTATTTATCCCTTACGCCCACTCACGAATCTGTAACAGATCCAATAGCACCTCAATTTCACCGCAATACAAATAAAACCTACATTATGCTTGACAACAGATTCTATTCTTAATTTAAATAAATAAATGAGACTGAATAAATGACTTTTATAGTAATTGGCGATTCTTTTGGTTAAATATACAGTATTAGAAATAAAGCATGTTAAAGGACGAATATCTGGCTTTTTTATATTTATCTACACAGTCCAGTCCCATTAATGTGACCACCTGTCAAAGGCCAGAATAACCACCTTTGTCAGAGCGGACGAAACAACAACGATTAGCGAAGAGCAACGACTGGCATGCTTTCCGATGCCCTAGGACATCTTTTTATATACACTCCATTACAATGGGCTGCCACCTGCCTTTTGTGAGCGGTTATTTCGCGTTGACGTCGAAAGTAAGTGGTGGTCACATTAATGTGACTGGACTGTGTATAATGAATAACATAACACAATATCATGATCACATTAACTTAATAACAATCATTAAAATTATTCGTCTTAAATCATATTCATAAATTTTGTATAAAAATTTTGTTACATTTTTCGGACAAACGGCTTGTGGTGCCAAGATGAGATTTGTGAGTACTATGGGCTGGCTTCTAACCCACAATTAATGGGAATTAAAATGGTTCAATTCCCCGCTCTGGGAGAGGAAGGCATGTTAGTGTTCAATAGTTCAATCATTTCAACATTTTGATACTTTCCCTCGCTGTACTCCAGTTTAAGTTGAATGCAGTAAAACTATAATCATATAAAGAATATTAACATGTATTTCTCACTCGTACAAATTATTCGATTCCTCTACGAAAATTTATTTCATAACATATGCAGACTGGAAAAAATTGTAATACTTTAAGAATTGTCAACTTCTTAATTCAATGTAAATGAGAGGTATGATTTCTTTACATTGCATTAAGAAAACGATACGAATTATTGTCATATTCTTAAAGGAACTCAAAATATTATTTCAAATATATAATATATATATATATATATATATTGCTAATGAAAGTATATTACAATCTTTAAATTAAAAAGAAAATATTGTACAGAGAAAAAGTATGATACTTTTAATATTTCTAGCACATTGTAAAGAACACTTTTTCTATGTTTCCCTATGTTATGTCATAAACTTTGGCAGTGGAATCCAACAATTTTGATGGCTAAGAAATACATTTCATAATTTCTTAAAGCATAGAATTTATACCGTATTCGGCATAAACAAGAGTACAGCGAGGTAAAAAGTAAAAAATGTCTAAATGATTTAAAGCGAGTATTGTTTTAAATATATTAAAAGGATGGAACACAGTAATTTGAAACTCATAATATACATTTCATATAACCATGACACCCTAGCCCAGAAGGTGGAGTCGAACCACTCAGATTCTCATCTGCTACGGGTTTGAAGGCCGCACACCAGACCACCGGCGCTCATCTGGGCATCAGGATATGTGCGATGCCTGGTATGTATACTGGTATTTCTGAAGCAAGTGTTAAGAGTGGTAGATTAAACTACCTGCAGGCATCACCTTTTACAGTTTCTAAGTCTAAAAATCAATGTTCATCAGAAAACGTGAACAGGTGCAGCAATGCCATTCTTTTAAGCCTTTTTTGAAAGAATGCGCACTTAAAAGCATTTGACCTTTCTTGTCGCATAGGATGATTACAGTATGAATTTTGTTCAATAAAAAATTTATTTTTCAGTTCTAATTGTTCTTTAATTATCTCACCACGATTTCTTACTGCCCAGGCTGTTGCAAGAAGATAAAAAGTACAAAATTATTAATAAAAATTAATGTAAGTGGTTCGGAATCCACGTGAAATTGTAGGTCCCGGTATAAATCTAAAGTGTGCAAAAAAAAATTACCATAGTGCTATAAATTAAACCAAACCAAACCACTAAAAAATAGTAGTAGTGAACCACATAAATATTGTTTTTGCTGTATATAGGGGCTAATTTACATCACAAAAACGTTTTAAATTCTTTAAATCTCAAATATGTATTGTTAAAACTTTTTATATCATTAAAACTTTCATTGTGGTTTAACAAGGGCCAAAGGAATACAATTTTTGCGAAGTCTACAAATCAATGTTAATCAGAAAAAGTGAAAAGGTGCAGCAATGCCATTCTTTGAAGCATTTTGAAAGAATGCTTACTTAAAATCATTTGAACCTTTCACTACCTTCTCTCGTTGCATAAGATGAATACAGTTTTGACTTTTTTTCAATAAAAATACTGAAACGTATTTTTCAATTCGACTTTCGTCACCAATAATTCTTACGTAACATATGAACAAGTAATAATAAAAAAAATTATATTCAATTCCTACCTCTTTTACTATATTGTACAAAGTCCTTTAAAAATAATTTTCATTCATTTTTCTAAGTTTATCTGGCGCCATCTATTGGTAGATATATGCAACTTAAATCTAAAAAAAAAAAAAAAGTCAAATTAATGGATTAAATTTAATTACTGAATTTATATTTGAAAACTGTATTGTCATCAAGTGTCATTCACCACAAGTTCAAAA